GTGGCTATTTTTTGTGACGTCTTTTTTGTTTGATTGTATTTTTTGTGACGTTTTTTGTGTGTTTGACTGTTTTTTGTGACGTTTTTTGTGTTTGACTATTTTTTGTGACGTTTTTTGTGGATTTGACTATTTTTTTGTGACGTTTTTTGTGGGTTTGACTTTTTTTTGTGAACGTTTTTTGTATTGTATTTTTTGTGACGTTTTTTTGTTGATTGTATTTGATTTTTTGATGTTTTTTTTTTGTGACGTATTTTTTTTGGGTGGGTTTGACGTTTTTTGTGGGGTTTTGATACTTTTTTTTGTGACGTCTTTTTATGTTTGATTGTATTTCTTTTTGTGACGTTTTTTTGTGTGTTTGACTGATTTTTTGTGTACGTTTTTTTTGTGTTTGACTATTTTTTTGACGTTTTTTGTGTCTTTTTCTTGTTTTGTGAACGTTTTTTTGTGGTTTTGACTTTTTTGTGACGTCTTCTTTTGTTTTTTGAATTGTGACTTTTTTTGTGACGTTTTTTTTTTTGAGTTTGACTTTGACCATTTTTTTGTGACGTTTTTTGTGGGTTTGACTTTTTTTTGTGACGTCTTTTTTCGGTATTGCAAATATGCTATTTTTTTTGTGACGTTTTTTTTTGTTGTGTGTTTTGATGATCTTGTCTTTGTCTGTGACATTTATGTATGTTTTTGTGTGGTCTCGTGTTTATTGGTTATTTGACTTGTAGTCTCTATTTTTTTGTTTTTTGTTTGCGTTGTTTGACTGTATTTGTTGTGACGTTTTTTTCGCTGTGTGATCTTATACTGATACTTATCTCTCTGTGACGTATATTCGCTGTGTTCCTATGACGCTTTTGCATCTGCCTGCATCTTTGTTTGGGAATCAGTATATAAAGACGAACATGATTTTCTTGTGTAGTGAGGGTTGCTGTAATTGTATTATGTTAGCGTGTTTTGAATTTTTGTTACTTGGTTGGTTTGTAAGTTTGTCAGTGTTTTGAATTCTCACACCTTAGTTATTCGTTAGTTTGTATTTGTTGGTGTTTTGAATTTCCTTTGTATTCGTTTTTTGTTATATATTGTTTTTTAGTGTGTCTTTCTGAACAATTATACTTTGTTCATTAGTTCACGTGTTACATCTGTTATTTTGCTGGTGTTTTGACATTCTTTATTGCTGATTGAGTTAGTTTGGTATTTGCTGGTTTTTGGAATTTTTCTTATGCATTTGCATTGTACTTGTTTGTATTATGTTCGTTGTGAGGTTTGCTACGTTCGTTTGTTGGTTCTAGGTTTGTTTCGTTTTGTTTTTTTTGTTGATGTGCATTTGTTTCATTTTGTTGTTTTTCCGTGTCTTTTGTGTCCTTGGCACTTTTTCTTGTGAGAAGACAAGGTATTTTGGGATTCCCTGTGTTTGTTTGTTGTACTTGTAGTTGAAGTTATTATTGTTGTTGTTATATTTGTTCGTGTCCTTGTTTGTTCTTGTTAAGTGTACAGGTAAGAAGTTTCGAATTTTCTGTTTCATTGTCAGATTCTCGCCATTTTGTGAATTCTTTAAAGAATTGTAAATATAAAGTCAATGTTACGTAATTCTTCAATTGAAATAGAAAAAAAAACAAATGTTCACTTTAATCACTTCTTGAACTTAGAAAGGAAAAAATAAAACGAAAGTTATGATGCAAAAAAATATGTGTTTGTATAGACATTGTTCATGGTAATTATCACATATGTATGTATACACACACACATACACACATATATATATGTGTGTGTGCGTGTGTATGTGTGTGTGTGTGTGTATGTGCGTGTGTGTGTGTGTGTGTGTGTGTGTTTATATAGATAGATAGATATAGATACAGATATATTTATATGTACATACATATGTATATCAATTCCACATCGCCCCTTAACATCACCTCTTCTGCCCTGACCTGACCTCAGCCGCGAGCAAGGACCGCCTTTACCTCCTGACCGATGCCCTCTTTCGCGAGTACGGTGACCTCTTCCGCATCCATCTGCCAGGTCAGCCTCCGTTGGTGTTCGTTAGCCACCCGGATGATATCGAGCAAGTTCACAGGGCGAACTTTGACCTCCCACAACGGGACTTCTTCGTGAGTTACCGTCACATGAGGTCACGGCATAGTTTCTTCAGGAAGGGTCAGACTGGTGTCTTTACCGAGTAGGTTCTTGGGTTAATGTTTACTGGCTTTCTGTTTCTGGTTTCTCTCTTTTCTCTTCTTTTCTCTCCTTTTGTGTCTTCTTTTTTCTTCTCTCGTCTGTCTCTTCTTATCATTCTCTCTCTTCCTTCCGCTCCTCCCCCCTCTCTTTCTGTCTGTCTGTCTGTTTTTCTCTCTCTCTCTCTCTCTCTCGTCTCTCTCTCTCCTCTCTCTCTCTCTCTCTCTCTCTCTCTCTCTCTCTCTCTCTCTCTCTCTCTCTCTCTCTCTCTCCCTCTCTCCCTCTCTTCTTCCCCCTCTCTTTCCTTCCCTCAAAAAACTGAAATATACAATAAATTAAAAAAAGAATGAGAACAGAAATGGGATAACAAGATTATTTGATTCCAGACACGGCGAAGAGTGGATGAGAGTGAGGAAGCGAATCCAGCCGTACACGTCGAGGATGAAGAATGTTTCCTCTTACATCCACCAGATGGACTCAGTGACGCAGGATTTCATCGCAAGGCAAGATGGCGTTTTTTCTTGTGCTTTCTCTTCTTGTTTTTTTTTTTTTATTATTTTGCTTTTGCTCTTTGGTTTATTGTTTTGTTTTTCGTTTTTTTCTTCTGATTTTCGTTTTGTATTGATTATTTATTTTGTTATTTTGTTTTATTTTTCCTTTTGGTTTTATTTTTCTATCTACTTTTGGCATTGTTTTCTCATCCATTTTATTCTCTTTCACTCTTTTCTTCTTTTTCTTCGTCTTTCAAAAGAGAGTAAGATGAATAAGTAAAGAGTGGAAGAGATGAATAGAGAGAAAGGTAGATAGGACATATATATATATATATATATATATATATATATATATATATATATATATATATATATTTATATCTATACATATATATATATATGTATATATAATAACGTATCTATATCTATATCTAAATGTGTATATAAGAGAGAGAGAAAGAGAAAGAGAGACAGAGAAGAGAGAGAAGAGAGAACAGAGAAGGAGAAAGAGACAGAAAGAGAAAGAGAGACAGAGGAGAAGAAGAGAGAGAGAGAGAGAGAGAGGAGAAGAGAGAGAGAGAGAGAGAGAGAGAGAGAGAGAATAAGAGAGAGAGAGAGACAGCGAGAGAGAGAGAAAAAGAAAGAAAGAAATGAAACAACAAAAAAAAACAACACCAAAAAAACTTGTACAAACCAACCACCTGTCTCCTGAAGGTGGGCGACCCTGAGAGACGATAAGGACGAGCTTCCCGAGGACTTCCTCCACCAGCTGTTCCAGTGGGCGTTGGAGTGTGAGTGTCTACAACCTTTTCTTTCTTTGTTTATCAATTATCTTTTGTTTCCTGGTTCGCTTTGGTTGGTATTTAGTTAGTTAGTTTGTTTTTAAGATGAGTGATGACTGAGATGATAGAATAGAAAGAGAGAAGACGAGTAAAGTAAAAATTATAAGAAAAAACAAGGATAGAAATAAAGATACTCATGAATAATATTAAATAACAAATTAGAAAACAGAGAGAAGAGAAAAAGGATCAAATTTTCACCATAGAAAAAAAAACTAATCTTATCTTTTTTCCTTCCTCCTCCCCCTTTCACCCTTCACCGTACTCCCTCATCACCCCTGTCCTTCACCCTCACTTTCCACCCCTTTTCACCTTCCCCCTCCCTTCCTCCCCATCGCCTTTTCCTTTCATTTCTTCTCCTTTCCCATCTCCTCCTTCATCCCCTTCCTCCTCTTCTCCTCCCACCTCCCCCTCATCATCCTCTCTTTTCCCTCTCCTTTTCCTACCTCCCCTTCATCCTATCCCTCTCCCTATCACCCCTTTCCCCTCTTTCCCCCCTCTCTTCCATCTCCCTCTCCTCTCTTCCCCCTCTTCCCATCACCCCCAAACTTCCCCTCTCCCTTTCCTCGCCCTCCTCCTCCTCCTCCTCCTTCGTCCCTTTCCCCTTTTTTCCCCCCTCTCTTCCCACCCCTTTCCTCTCTTTTCCCCCTCGCTTCCCACCTCCCCGGCCCCCCCTTTCCCTCTTTTTCCCCCTCCTCCTCCCTCCTCCTTCTTCCCCTCCCACAGCCTTGGCCTAGTGACTATCAACAGACGTCTAGGTTGCCTGGAGAACACGCCGGAGGCCCTACGGATGATAGAGATCGCGGATGACCTCGTCCGCAGCATCCATGGCCTGGAGATGGGGTCACTCGTCCGCTGGTGGAGGTGGGTCGACACACCGGCGCTCAGGAGACTCAGGAAAGCACATGATGAGATGCTGAGGTGAGTGTCGGGCAAGTAGGGGAGGGTGGGGGCGGGGGGGGGGGAGTTAGGTGTCATGAGGTGTGTCAGTTAAGTGTGTCAGATGTCATGTAGGAGAGGCATTAGTTAGGATGTGTCAGGTGGATACAGACACTATTAGATATACAGAGAACCAAAATAGATAAATAAATAAACAGCTATCAAGACAGATACATAGACAGATAAACAGATACAGATACTAATGGCTAAATTGATAGACAGACAGACAGATAGACATAGCTAAACATATACCCACAGACAGATAGATGAACAGACACACTTGGACTGATAGATAAAGAAACACAAATAGATAGTCAAACATAGGGACATATAGACAAACAAAAACAAAACAGACATGCAAACAAAAAAAACAAAAACAAAAACAGACAACAACAAAAACAGAAACAAAAACAAAAACAGACAGACAAACAAAAACAAAAACAGACAGACAAACAAAAACAAAAACAGACAGAACAACAGAAACCCCACAAGAAACCTGAGAGCACTTAACCCCCTCGTTCCCACAGCTTCGTCCACGCGGCCGTTCAAGAATCCCAACAGTCGCTCCAGTCCCGACGTCCGGACTCCGAGGAGGACTTGAACATCGTCGAGAACCTCCTCCTCGACCCTGTCTTGACTTACGAGGACGTCCATGCCTTCCTCATCGACGTATTTTTCGCCGGGATTGACACGGTGCGTCGGACGGATCCTGTTGTGGACGAGGGGTGGCGTTTGTTTACGTGCGTTGGGGTTTTGTTTGCGTGCGTTCGTCTTTTGTTTGCGTGCGTTGGGATTTGGTTACGGGTGATTGTGTTTTGTTTGCGTGCGTTGGGGTTTTGTTTGCGTGCGTTGGGGTTTGGTTACGGGTGATCGTGTTTTGTTTACTTGCGTTCGTGTTTTGTTTGCGTGGGTTTTTGGTGATCGTGTTTTGTTTAGGTGCGTTGGGGGTTTTGTTTACTTGCGTTCGTGTTTTGTTTGCGTGCGTTCGTGTTTTGTTTACTTGCGTTCGTGTTTTGTTTGCGTGCGCTCGTCTTTTGTTTGCGTGCGCTCGTCTTTTGTTTAGGTGCGTTGGGGTTTTGGTTTGCGTGCGTTCGTGTTTTGTTTACTTACGTTTGTGTTTTATTTACGTGCGTTCGTCTATTGTTCACGTGCGTTAGTCTTTTGTTTACTCACGTTCGTGTTTTGTTTACTTGCGTTCGTGTTTTGTTTACTTGCGTTCGTCTTTTGTTTACTTGTGTTTGTGTTTTGTTTACGGGCGAGCGCTTTTATTTACGTGCCATCTTTTTTTCTGTTCACAATTGTTGACGGTTTTGGATTTTTTGTTCTTGTAATGGTGCCTGAAAACTACTCGTTAACTTTTTTATGATACTAGATGTTTATTTATTCTATTTTTTTCTGAATATAGCATTGTATTAAAATGTAGTAAACGTAAATAGTTATGAATAAACATATGAACAAACTAAAAGAGAAACATCGACATAAACATAAAACTAAAAAGAGAGAAAAAAACAGGCAAAAACATCAACTTAACCCAAAACAACAGCAAAAAACTATCAAATCTATATAAAAACAAACAAACCTAATAAACAAAAATCTATAAACAACAAAAGAAAACCTAAAAGCCTCAAACAACTCTACTAAATTCTTCTCCATGTGTCCCCAGACCTCCCTCTCCTCCACCTACACCATAATGAGACTGGCGCAGAACCCAGACAAGCAAGAAAAATTACAGGAAGAACTAGACCGTGTTCTGGGAAACGGCGAGCAAGTCATCAGTCCTGACCATATAAAGGAACTCCGGTATCTCAAAGCCTGTGTGAAGGAGGCTCTAAGGTGAGAGGAAATTTATTTGGCATTTGGAGAAAATAAACGATGTTAGGGTTTAAATCTTAATTATGAAGGGTATTATTTGGTTTCATCCCTGGAATATGATGTCATTCGCTTTTACCCTTCGAACCGGATGACGTGACCATCACGTCAAGAAAAAAATCGGCTTGACGGGCGGGTGACGTGAAGATGCCGTCATGGGTAAAAAAAAAAAGCTGCAGGTTATATTTAAAAGTTGAATATTACGAAAAAGTAAAAAGCGACACAAATGACAAATTTGCCCGTTTTTCTTGCACTGGGTTATAGAAAGATGGCATGGAGTCTATGCAAGGAAAACGGTCTAACACCATATAGATAAAAGCAAATCCAATGACTAATATGGACATTCGAAAATGTCATAAAAGACTAAAAATGTTTATGCAAAATAACATTGCAAGAGGGAGGCATAATGTCTTGTCACCGCACAGGAGTGTCAGAACGTATCAAATGACACTAACGATATGTATTTATGTGCTTTCTAACAAGGATGATTTCTTCGTTATCTTTTTATCTATAATTCAAAGGTGTACTTATCTATTTTTTTTATTTATTCATCTTTTATTCTGTTATAGGTTGGACCCGCCAATCATCTGTGTCGTGAGAAAAACCACGAGAGATATGGTACTTCGCGGCTTCTTGGTGCCAAAAGGGGTGAGTGGTTTAGAGCAGTGTTGTCCAAACATTTTCGCCTATTGTACCCTTTATTACCATCTTGTACTGTTACGTACCCCCACCTCCGCCGTGGATAAACAGTTTTAATTAGGATAATGTAAATAATATTCTATCCTATGAAGAGACTGCATTGCAGGAGTGTTAGCCAATGAATTAACTTAATACACGAATTAAAAATATGATCTAATAACAAAATACTTGAAAAATAGTTCCACAACTTCATGTGAGATGTGAGATAGGGAGGGGGGTGAGAGAGAGAGAGAAGAGAGAGAGAGAGAGAGAGAGAGAGAGAGAGAGAAGACAAAGAGAGAGAGAGAGGGAAGACAAAGAGAGAGAGAGAGGAGGGATGGAGGGAGAGAAGGAATCTCCTTCCTGATTCCCCTCTATCTCCTCTTCCCATCCACCACCTCCCTTCCACCCTCCACTCTCCTCCCTTACTATATAAACACATCATCGCTATACTATCATCTCATCACACCTTCCTCCTCCCCTCCCCCCCCCCCACTCAGACCAACATGCAGCTCTACACTCGAGCCTCGAGTAGGAGCGAGGAGTTCTTCCCGAGGGCGACCGAGTTCCTCCCCGAGCGGTGGCTGAGGGAGACGTCGGCCTCGAACTCCGTCCATCCCTACGCCTCCCTGCCCTTCGGCGCCGGGGTCAGGAACTGCGCCGGGAGGAGGTTCGCCGAGCAGGAGATTCATATACTGCTGGCTCGGGTGAGTTTTGTGTGGTGTTGATTTTTTATTATTATTTTTTTTGATGATTTTTATTTATTTGTTTATTTATTTATTATTATTATTTATTTTTATTTTTATTTTATTTGTTTGGTGCTGGGTCGGTTTGGTTGGTTAGCTGTCTTCTTTTTATTCCTCTTCTATCTTTTTTCTTTTTTTCTTTCGGTTTAAGTATCTTTCCGATCCTATGATTATTTATTCCTCTTCTACCTGTCCACATTCTTTTTTTTCGGTTAAGTATTCGTGATCTTATACTTAGAGGCTATCGCCCTTTTCATTTCTATATTTTCCGTCTATTCTTCACCTTCTTTCCTCTTTCCGGTAATTTCCTAAGGCGCATTTTAGACGTTTAGCGGAATTCGTCAAAGCAGTCCCCACATACAGCTTGCTATAAGTAAATTAAATAAATAAACAATCGCAATATGTAGACCTATTCCCCTCGTACTGGGTAACAGGTGTAATCGATAAAGAAAACGGACTAAATGCTTTTGGTAATTATCGTGAAATTAACGAGGTTGAACATTTAATGAAGATAAGGGATATAATTTCAAAAAATTTATTACATAATATATAGCACTAAAAATTATGAAAAAAACAGAAAAAATCGTCAACACACTTTATGGCAACAGTTTAAATCTGCTATTAGATAGCTCTTCGAAACTGAGAGTTAGAATAAAAATGACGAAGGCAAATAAAAATGCTCTTCGAACATCCCCGGGAAGGCTGTAATACAATAATAAGTTGCTAGAAATTACCTTTTATAGAATAACGTAACTATTAATAAAACTCAGTTGATGCTTCTGGTTGGCACAGATATGTCCACCGCTTGGTAGTTTATATCATTTATTAACGGCAAAATTAGTAATTTAACAAAAGAATTTAATCGAAATAACTTATTTCTGTCAGCCATGTTGGCGGTTTGTTTACAATCGTGACGTCATAAAACTGCAGCAAGGTTCCTCTGGAGATGGTTTGAAATGCTAGGTTTGGGTGCTAAACCAGACCAAGATATCTGATCAAGAAGTCCATCCAAAACAGGAATGAATAAGAAATTTCATAATTTTTCAAGAAATCTTGTAGTTTATATAATTTATTAGGGACAAAATCAGTAATTTAACAAAAGAAATCACTTGTTTCTGTCAGCCATATTGGCGGTTTGTTTACAATTGTGACGTCATAAAACTGCAACAAGCTTCCCCTGGAAATGGTTTGAAATGTTGGGTTTAGGTAGTAAACCAGACCAAGATATCTGATCAAGAAGTCCCTTAAAAAAACAGGAATGAATAAGAAATTTCAAAAATGCGTTGTGTGAAGCGTGTGTAACTTAACCTCACTCTTCTTCCATACATGTTCCCTTTTTTCACTAGAAATAAACCATACAAAAAAACACACACAAACTAAAAACTGGAATATACCGCCAAAAAGGACATGCATTCAGCTTCCCATTATTCAGAACCGACCATTTTTTCCCTCCAGATGTTCCACAAGTACCGACTGGAGTGGCGATACGATCCCTTGGCGCCGACCTTCAGCATGCTCATGATGCCAGATAAGCCCCTGAGGTTCACCATGAGGGAGAGGCGATGAAGGAACCAGCCAGGACTGCTTTTGTTTTCTCTTGTTTTTCTTTTTTTTTCTTTTCTTTTCTTAGTTTTCGGTGCCAAAGTTAGATCTTATTGTTATGTTAAAGAGTTTTATTGGCATTTTTTTTTCTTTTCTTAGCTTTCTGTGCCAAAGTTAGATCTTAGTGTTATATTAAAGGGTCTTATTGGTAATTTTTGTCTTTGAATTTTGGTGTGCGGTATTTGTATTGCATGATGTAATGAGACATGCATATGCATACGCACACAACGCGCGCGCGCGCGCACACACAC